ACAAAGTTTACCTACGAGGTAAGTTTTCTCTTAGCTTGTTTTGAGGTTTAGACAAAGTTTAGGCATTACTTTTGCTGATCTTGAAGGCGTTACTTTTCCTGGTCTTGGAGGCATTAGGTTCATTAGTCTTGGGGGTGGCAGTATCGTTAGTACTGCTCATTTTGTGCTAAAAATAAAAATTCATAAGTTTCATTTCCATAGACTTCATTAAGCAATAAAGAAACTCAGTGAGTTGTAGCTCCCACATACTAAACAAGACATTACCTTGAGAATAAATTGCAATTAAATTAAGTCAAAAAAATATGCAACTTATTACTACCCGCCTTATGAGCCAAAAATTGCTTATTTTTATACTTCACGTTCGTTAGATCTAGAGAACCTGCCAGAAAAAAAAGTTACATGATTAGTAATTGTGTTACTCTAATACTGCCAGAACATACTTAACAAAGCAACTTCGTTTCAGTTGTAAGGCCCAAATACTAAATATATTTTACCATTTTTTAGTAAAATTAAAGCCCCCATAGATTCAACGATCAGTACTACGAAGTAAAAAAGTCAACGATCTCAATGATCTGGGAATTCCAAGTTCCCCATGATATATGAATTTGGATAAAACTGCTGATAAAGAATGTTATACTCATTCCCCTTATAGTATTTTTTGATCTCATTCGTGCTTTTCTTATCGCGGGATCATATATGGTAAGGAAAAAGTTATATAACTTATTTGAAGTAATATTCATTCTAGCGTGGGAAAATAATTATGCGGTAAAGTATCACAAAGCACATGTCCGATTTTGTGTGACTTGTATTACTGGAATGTTAACAGTTAATTATATTAAATTCATATATATGATCACAGAATGAATGCGAGTAATAAGAATCACGACTTATTCCTTGTATCAACTCCACATAGTAAATTTTGGCTAAGCCACTGTTGAAGTACTATTGGCTTTTTTCTAGTAAACACATATAAAATTGAATCAGTTATTCATAATGTATATAATTGATAAAATCTAATAGGTCTAATAATCCTAAATTTGATATAATCGCATAATCTCTAAAACACTATAAGTCACTTAATCATTAAACATGGTTTACACAGATAATTGTCCAGTTTTGAGCAATACTGAATAGAGAGATAATTGTCAATTCTCTGTAATTTGTAATGGAGAAACCCCATCTGATTAGATAAAACGAATCTGGGATCAGTTGATGAACTATAAGAATAGTAATCGCTTGAATGATGATAAAAAGCGTTATCTTATTGCGAGAAAGATGGTGTATTTATATGAGGGTGATCTTGGCCATGCTATAGGTGTAAGTATAGCAATCTGTTATTTGTACAACAAGCTCATTTATTCTAAAATAGAATGTAGATATAAGTGTGAATTTCGTTATTTTATGAATGAGCATTGGAGTACAAATTGTATAAGACATGCTTATTGTGATATTAGTTATAAAGACTATATGGAACTTAAAAGCAGATCCGAAGTTAGCAACTCCTACTTCGAAAAAAAAGCAATTCATCATTATGAATTGTGGATGCAAAATGCTATCAGAAGAGTTAAACGTGCAAGAGAGATTGGAAAAAAAATTCGAGCTGTAAGGGTTATACAAAGGAAATTTATTGAATATTATTACTGACCCTCTGGCCTTTGTGTTATATAGTTAGTTGAGCATTATAAACTCTTATAGGAAATTAGAGAGGAATCACGTCAAATTAACAATGTATAGCTTAATTTATTATAATATGTATCCGTTTATTCGATTTATTAATATAACTTTTTTTGCATAGAGTTGTTGTCTACTATTTTCCTAATGCTATTCTTGAGATCACAATTGGGTAGTACACGAAGTGAAATAAAAATCTATGAAGTGCATACTATAACACTATAGACTTTTCATTTTGATTTTTCAGGTTCAAAATTCATGGGCTCAGCAGGTAATGCATTTTTTATTGCAGAGCAATGGTTCTTCGAACCTATCTTGCGTTTTTGCCGTAACTCTATCTCTTTTTGCAAATCTAGTGAAGTATCAAACCTTAGCCGAATTGCAAGTGGATCATCTTCAGGCCTATCTAGATCAAATACAATAAATTTGCCTTTGCGTAAGTAGCTGTTAATAACCATTGATGCATTTTTTACGTCATCTGTATATCTATAAATAATTTTAGAAACATCTTCATATGAACTACCAGAATTAAAAAGTACTAAGTAATTAGCATTTTCATGCATGAATGTAGTGATTTTATGATATTTCTGTGCCACAAATATATATGAAATATTTTGATATCGCCTATTTTCAAAAAATTGGCCAATTCGATTCTGTATATGTTCGAAGCGAGACACAAATCCTCAAAAACAATTGCTGTACTTCGTTCAGATGAAAATGCTTTTACACTAGGTATTTTTTCTGGTGATATATAGCTAAATCGTATATTTTCATAGTAAGGTGCTTTCGGGTCTTTTGAAATTATACTATACATATATCTAACGAATGCCCATTTTGGCTCGGCAGGATGATAACCACAAACTATTAAATTATTACAAGAAATATATCTCCTACCACCTTTTTTTCCTTTATATATGTATTCAGCTTTATTACCGAGAAAAAGATTTGTTA